ATTCTGCTTCATCTATAATATACATTAAATATTCTCGTTCCTGAAAATTCATATCGAAGCTTGTTAAACAATTTAGTTGAACGCCATAATATAACTACAGTATATTTAAATGGCAAGTGTATCTGGAAAGATGTCGATATTCCACTTTTTGAATTGGTTCCAATTATATCTTATCTAATCTTATCATGGTACCGATGATAATATTTTGTCAATCGATGACGCATCTAAAAATTATACCGTTCAATAGGCATATATTAATTTGGTTGTCGCGATCGTAAGCTGTCACGAAATTCACAAGTATGCAAATAAACCGAGAAAACGAACCAAGAATTAGTGTCTTTGACAATTACTATGATTACAGCAGCTCTGAAAACGAGGAAACTGAAGATGAGAGGTATAAATTTAATTTAGTTTCGATATTGTTTGAAACATTTGTCTAAATATAAGTGAAATAGAATGAATTTTAATGAATTTAGAATAAATAAATAGAGAGAGCGAGAGAGAGAAAGAGATGACAGCAAAAAATTGCAATACTCTGATTCGTATAGAAAGTTTACAATTTTTATTTACATTACAAATCATTTTGCTAGTTCTCAGTTTTTATTTTTTAATGCGTAAATGCATTAGTTTTGTTTTTACATTTTTTAAATTACGATATTTTAAAAGAAAGACAAATTGTTTTACATATACAAAGTCATATATTGCATTATGATTTGTTTAAAGATATATATATACATACATACAGAGTGTCCCGACAAAGTGATCTGACAATGCATGAACAGGTAGAGCGGACTAAACTGAGACAAAAAGTCCTCTACCATTTTGCAACTTTCGCAATAGTTAACAAGATATTAATTATTAAAAATTGCTTGAATATCAATTTTCAATTATTTTTTCTCAATTTTGCAAAAAAACAGCAGGAGACAAAAATTATTTATTTTCTCTTCATAGAACTCTACAAATTTTTTAAGAATTTTTTATGATCTTTTTAATACTGCATTTTACCAACATGAGAAAATACGTATTAAAAAATTATTTTAAAATTCTGAAAAAATTCTCAGAACTTTACGAAGAAAATAAATAATAATTTTTCTCTTACTGTTTTTCTGTAAAGTTCATAATATTTGAATAAAATATTTATTGAAAATATTCAGCAATTTTTAGTAAAAAATATCTTGTTAAATATTACGAAAATTGCAAAATAGTAGAGGACTTTTCGACTCAGTGTAGTCGCTCTATCTGATATGTGTAAAGTTAGCCTCCCTTTTTTGAAAATTAAAATTTTGACAATTGTTCCAGATTATTCTGAATTTGTTCTATATTGTTCCAAAGCGATATTATCTTATTCCAAATCGTTCTCCAATAAAATGAAAAAAAAAAAATTTTTTTGTTAGTCCCTCTTTTTTGAAAAATCAAATAATTTCTTCTCGCTATAGATTGTTCTAGTTGTTCCAAATATTGTTCCAAAAGGACAATTTCGTATGACGAACGGAAATAAAGAAAATAAAAAATTTCTTATCCGGCACCCCTTTTTTTAATAATCGAACAATTCATTATCGCCATAAATTGTTTTAGTTGTTCTAAAAGGACAATTCCGTAAGTTGAATAAAAATCGAGAAAAATAAAATCAGTTTTTTCAATTTTTGGAAAAATCGATAGTGGTTCTAGAAACATACTGCAGAATTATCTTTTATAGGACTAGAACAACTGAAAATATAAAATTCTACGTTGAAATAAGGAGAGTGTACCTTTACTTTTGGTCGGAGCGTTCGTTTGTTGAAAAATGTTTTTTTTATTTTTTTTTAATTCCATTTGACTTACGCTATAGAACAATCTATAGCAATAATGAATTGTTCGATTATTAAAAAAAGGGGTGCCGGATAAGAAATTTTTTATTTTCTGCTATTTCCGTTCGTCATACGTCATATTTAAAACAACTAGAACAATCTATAGAGAAAAAATTATTTGATTTTTCTAAAAAGGGGATCTAGTAAAAAAATCGTTTTTTTTATTTTATTGGAGAACGATTTGGAATAAGATATTGCTTTGAAACAATATAGAACAAAGAATAATCTGGAACAATTGTCAAAATTTTAATTTTCAAAAAAAGGGAGGCTAACTTCACACACTCTACCTGCCCACAAGCGTTGTCGGATGAATTATGAGACATTCTCTCTCTCTCCCTCTCTCTCTCTCTCTCTCTCTCTCTATATATATA